TCAGGGCCTGTGAGATTGCTGAGGCATCTTGTCAGAACATTAAATAATCACACAATGTCATGAGGGAATATCTAATTAAGGATCCAATTTCTCAAGGGTCTGAGTACCTGTTACAATGTGCCGAGAACCCTTAATTCCCACTGACAAGAGCAGCAGCTTAGGGTGTTCCCAGCAGGCATTTAATAGGATTGTGCCCTTACTTCATTTGGCTGGGATAAGTCCAGGCCAGTCAGGTGAAGCAACAGTAATGAAACAAGACAAGATAATGACACATAGGGTTACATTCCAGCAGGAATATTATTACTGGCAGATGATGAAACATACTCAGGTGTGAAGTCCCTGTGAAATACAGGAAAACATATAAGGATGCATTCTTAGGGTTAAATGTGTGCCTTTGAGAAAGATCTGTCTGTATTCATCCCATGCAAAAAGAGCTGTAAAAGGCAACACGAACCCTTTATCACCCCAGACCTCTATCCTGTACGAACACGTGACAGAATTCCCATCCATGGTTTGGCTACCAAGAACTTTAGTGATTTAAACAACCCCATGAGGGTTGTCTGCCTTACAAAGGCAAGCAGATTTTCATCCAGTGTTTGAGAAGCAGAAACCTTGGGTAGGGGAAATGTGGGTGCTGACTTTCCCTGAGCAGCATTCTTGGTGTGACCCAAGAGATAGAACAAAATTTGAGGTGGACAGATGAAGCCCTACCAGTAAGACTTTTCCCTGCTTCTTATATACCTGCAGTTACATAAAGGAGAAGAATGTTAGACGCAGCAGAAGAGAATAAGCATTGAATTTTGGCTGATTCTCAGAGATGAAAGTAGAAATAACATTCTTTTCTTTGTCCTGAAGAACTGTTACAAAAAGGACTAAATGAGTAGGGAGCATGGCATTATGTTAAGCACTTTTGGGAGAGTGAAAATTTAAAATTAACCTTTGTGTTGTCAGGCTCTTAAGTGAGGAATGATGCATTAGACAACCTGATTTTATTTGATTTGTTGGGAAACCAGAGCTGCAGTGTTGTTTCTTGAACAGAATTACAGGCTTCATTTAAAGAGAGAGGCAAAGCGCACATATCACTCTGGAATAGATCAGCATAAGCATTTTCTATATCATGAGTAATGTTTACTGGAAGAAATCAAATTACTGTTACACAGACCATCTGTTTTCTTTGCATGCAATCATGTAAGTGTTTTAGGACAAGCCATCCTTTTTAATCAGTTGTAAATCTCTTATGGCAAGGCACTGTTTTCTGTAATAAAATCTATTTTTATGATAAATGTAAGAGTTTTAAATACTGGTTTCTCCTGCATAAATATAGTGTACATATTGTTCATAACATAAAAAGTAGGGGTGTACAACATTAGTTATTATCTGTCAAGAACTTAATTTTAGGGATTTTTGCATAGCCATTTTTAGATTTTTGTTGGATCTGCAACTCCCTGGTGTTCAACTATTATAGCAAATAACATAATGAGTAATACTGTCCATTTATAGCCCAAGAAGTTGATTCCTATATAAATTTAGTAAATGGAGTATAATAGGGCGTCTATTTTGTAGCATAACTGCTATGATAAAAGTGATTACTGTGGAAGATTACTGTCTTTTGTCAAAATTCCTACCCTTGGAAATACTGAAGACAAAATGGCATGGCTTATTAAAAAATGAGCCTGTGGAATGACATAATGACATTGAGGAGACTTGAATTTATGGTCCAAGAAGGAGTCAACAATAGAGTGTGATGTTTACTTCGTGTTTAAGGACAGCTCATTCACAGATGTAACTATCCCATTCATTTTAGTGGGTGCTGAATTGAGCCTACTATTTTATTTTTTTATCACTGTCAGCTGTCAACTTCCCTGATTCATGTATTGTCTTTGGGTGCTCTTGAATTCAGAGGAAGCTGAAGGTCTGCCTGTTTAGCAAAGTTTCCTCTGATTTCAAAAGCAGCTGTGTGGTTGCTTTGCCAGAATTTGCTCTGTATTGCATAAAATGACCCTGAAATAAAAGAAAAAACAAGAACTGTAAGTAACACAATTGGAAATTCCCTCAGCAGGTTGGCTGTCCTTCTCAATGAGGTTGGCAAGCCTGAATTTCATTTGTTCAGACACTTTCAAATCAATGCTATTTTGTCTGAATAATTAAGCTGCTTACTCAGGCTTGAAAAGTGTATGGTGCTAAACTCTTGCGCTTTTTTGGGTAAACATGAAGAGGCAAAGAGGCAGAAAGAGATGGACCATGCACCTGGAAAAATTATAGTGCCTACAGTCTGGTGCCACCCCATGGTACAGTGGAAGTTTTCTGCTCAGGGAAATATCAGATGAAATGAAGGACCCCTACAAGTCCTGTTGTGAAGGCTGGGCTCAAAATCTCCATGTCCTGTGTATTGCCACTTAGTTTCAGTGAAAGGGAAAAAGCAGAACAGGGTGAAGGGCTTACAGAATCATACAGGTGATAGAGAGTGAAAGAGAAAATAAATCTGTATTTGTAGCGGTTTAATAATTTGTTTGCATTTTTTTGTTGTTCAAATTCAGTATTCTTTCTTTGAGATAATTATTAAAGATGAGATAAATTTTTACTTTTTATTCCCTCTGGCTTTTCTTCTTATGTTCACCCTTCTTTTATTCACAGGGAAGAAAACTGCAGGCAAATTAAATAATGTCATTGAATCGCAGCAATTTGTTTGTTAGAATAGACTTCTGGAGGGTGCTGGAGGGTATCATCAATGTCCTAGTCTAAGCAAGAAAAAATTAGATAACATCACTCACAGCCTTGTTCTGTTGAATTTGGAGTATCTACAAGGATGGAGATTTGCCAGCCTCTCCCAACAACCTATTTCTCAGACTTGCTTTTGTTCCCCTACAAGCTCATCTGGTTGTTTCTCATGTTCCTCACCAGTTTCAAATCCAGCTGAGGTCTGGCTTGCCCAGTTTCATCCAAGCAGTCCAGAACAAGGAAGTTCTGCATTCCTCCCAGGTAGCCCTCCCAACCTCTCCATCCTGTGCTGTCCATTTGCTGTGCCTGCATGACATCCCAAATGGCAACCTGGGAAGGCCCAGTGCACTGGGGGAGCTGTTTTCAGCAAGCAGCTTTCTCTTCTGGGCCCCTCTTGCTGTCTTGGGTTTCAGGAGACACATTTCAGTTGGAGCTGTCAAAAAAGTTGATGCAAATATTTGTTTTATATTTTTCATTCATTCTTCCTACTCCCATCTTCATATTCCCAAATCTTTTTCAGCAAGATAGATAAGATAAGGTGAAAGATATCAAACCAACCTATTTCCACAAGGGTTTTTTAAGCATGATTTTTCATTTGATGTAAGTAAAATTACTACAGTATTTTGATTTTTTTAATCTTATTTTTGTTGGGGTATTTTGCCCAGAACTTTGGAACAGTTACCACATGAGTTCTTCAGTAGTTTCAGTAGAATGGACACTATATTCCCAGCTGTATGGTCTGTTTTTTATCCAAGAAAGATATTTTGATGTATTTACAATTGTCAAAGAAGACACTTACCTAGCTCTAAGAACAGTAAATGCAAAAACTACTGCTTGCAAATTATCACATTTTTTTCTATCAAGAAACAATTCAGCCAAATTACTTAATTTGCTTAGTGGTAAAGACTGTGGCAAAATATGAATTACTGTTGTCATAGCTACACTGTATTTTGATACAGTACATTTGTTCATTGAAATGATAATAAAATAATTTGCTGTTCAGCAAATATGATGCATATCTTAAATTACAATGAATTACTTATTGTAATGAATATCTTAAAATATAAATACAGAGCCTCTGACTCCGTATTTAAGTGCAGTAAGTAGAGAATACTGCTGTTTATTTTAGGAATTTCCTGTGTCTGCAGTGCTGATTACACTGAAGTGGGAATCAATGACAATGTGCCATATAGGAGACTTTATTTATAGTAGCTTTATAACTGATCTAAAGTGAGACAATAGATTTTGATACCCATGACCTTTAATAGAAAACTCTCTGAAGAGAAGTTTCCAATTTTACCTCCAAAGTAACCCCTAGTGAAAGTCCTTTGTATTTTAGACTTGGTGAGACAATTAAATAATGACCTATTCTTGGTTCCTTTCTCCCTCAGTTGCTTCTGTATCTTGGCTATTCAGTTGACAAAACAGAAAAATTATTCAGGGGAGCTCTAAAAAGCTAGACATTTCCCCATTTCTGCTTTTTAGAGTGTTCTTAAGTGCAGCATGTTTGGGTTTGCATGTTTGCTTTGCTCTCCTTGACCTATTGAGGTCCAGTGGCTGTAGAGGATATGATCTGTTCATGCGTTCCAAAGTCTCCTCTTCCACCTCTTTACCAGATGTATTTTTGAAGGAAATGGAGCAGGAAAGTGACATAGATGATGATCATGTTTGGCTTTGAACTGATGTCCCTCAGCTCACTTGGTGATACAGGGAGGAAAAGAGGGGAACAGAAATGCTTGGTCACAGTTTTGAAATATATTTAGGTCTGAGCAGTTCATCCTTGAAGAGGAAAAGTCTATAGGTATTAAAAATAAAAAGCCATAATACCAGTGAATAATATTAATTCTGGACATTCTAGAGTGAAAAGCAGTAGAAAAAATAGCTTAGAGAAGCTACAGGGAGGAGAATATTTGTCGAATGGTGAGACTGAATATTTCAGAACAAATCATTGTAGTATCTGAACAGTGAGATAGAAACTAAAAGTAAATGCATCTAACTAAATGTATCTATTTGAAATTTGATCTGTTAACCAGTAGAATTAACTGAAAACTCTCCTCACACATATCATTTCTTTACAACTAAAAAAGGCAGCATAAAATATTTGGGCTCTTACTAAACAGTAATTCTTCCAGGCTGCTTATTTTTACATCAGCTCTTGGGGTTTTTATTCCTCAATATTGGCTACTATTGAAGGCAGGGGGTAAGAATTACCTGAATTACAGAAATTATTGTTCCAGTGCCTTCATACTCCACATTTGGTGTCTTTATCCTCTCTGTCACAGGTAACTATCTTACACCCGGAGCAAGAAAAGTAAATTCCCTTGGCTGTCCCATATCTCTAAGGAACCTGATGCATGAGTGGACTAGAGAAGAGACAGAGAGAAAAACTCCCAAGACCTACAGATCATCTGGCTGGCAGGGTGAGTAAATGTCCTGTCATCTCAGTCAAATGTTGTCAGGTACACAAGGAGTGAGCCTGCTTTGAGCATTGCCTCAGGAATTATTTATTCAGTAATTGTTGGGAAAAAGAGGATCAAAATGTATCGTGTTTCCAGGACTCTGACATTGGTGCCTCACATGCATTCAGAAGTACTAAGCCAAACACCTCCTATATTTTCAGTTTAAGCCCTCTATGTGGATTTTATAGGTAGGCAGTTCTATATAGGGAGGAGGGGGTTAATGTGTGCTGTGCTGTCAAGGCTATTTTCAAATGTGGTAGGTGAAACAGGAATATCTATTACTGAATCAGTCCAAACTCCTCATGATTCATAAATAGATCTAAAAAAGAAAAGAAAGGAAGAAAACTCATTTTCTCAGTGCCAACTGTACTTAGATTGCTATGGATGTGGGCCTGTGCTCCCTGCTTCTCATAAGTAACTTCTTGTTTACAAAACACAATAAAAACAAACAAAAAATTACCTAGCGTAGAAGCAAACATGCAGTAGCCTTATGTAATAGTCAGAACCTGATTAAATTATGCCCTTCTGGCTTTGCCTGTTCCAAAAGGTGGTAGAAGCAGAGACTGTAGCAGGTTCTGGAGCATTTCCTCCAGTTCACAGCAGTGAGTCAGAGGTTCTGTCAAGTACCAGCAACCAATTAAAGGGAATCAAGATCCACATGTACAGAGGATGACTTATTTTTCAAAAGGATGATGCATATAGAAATAGACAAACATGGAAGAAAATATGACCCAAAGATTACCTCAGAGTTCTCTGTCTGGTGGTTTTTGTCTCCACAAAAGACATAATTAAAATGTTGCCCTCCTCCATTGGAGTAGCTGATGCTTCCCCTCTGTATTTGGTCCTGCACATATCTGCACCCAAAACACTGGCCAGGCCCCATGTGCTCTGGTCCCTTCTGCTGGGGTGAAAATCATGAGTACAGCAAACCCATCTTCCCTGCAACCCAGGCTCAGTTTGTTCTTAGAAAGGAAAAAAAAACAGTTGAATTACAGTTTTGTCTGTGTGAAGATCCACCCTGGCTAGGAACCATAACACAAAAATTTACCAATTTACCAAACCCTACAACATGACAAAACAAAATAAAAGGCACTCCAGGGTTTTTCCTTCAACTCCAATTGCTCTCTTCTAGGGGAAGCAAAACCTAGCAGCACAACAGTGCCTTTGCAATTCATATTAGGTGATGTCTTCAGTATATTGGGCTGTTTTTCTTAGCATATAAGCAATATTCTGACTTTGGTGAAAGTCTGCATTTTCTGACTCCACATTCTTTGAGGGCATCTGTCTAAATGCAAATGTTGTCTGGACTTTGCCTTATGTTCCAATTAGAAGAAGGAGACTTTTGCTATTTTTGCTATTTTTGTTGCGCTTTGGGTTACCTTGTTTTTAGTAAGTACTCTTCTGAGTGTGCTGGAAGATGACTTTGGTACACAGAATTTTTACAGAATTCAGGTAATTCCCTCAGCCATTCTGAACCCAACAGCAACAACTAGCTCTGCTCTCTGTTTCTGGGCTCTGAAATCCATAGGAAAAGGTGTTCAGATGCTGATGAGACACTTTTCTGCTCTAGCAGCTGCTTCCTGCCTCCTTGTGAAAAGGCAGTGGAGCAGATACAGCCTGGCGGCACAGGTTTGTCCATACTTCACAAATAACAGTGTCTTCTTCCACAATGGTATTACACTCTCTTGTTTTAATACAGTATTTTAGGTATGTATTTTAATACAGCTTTTTAAGTAACCACTTATTTGCCCCTTAATTTTCTACTTTATTTTATATCATATCTGTGCAATAGAGGTGGGTTTGATGTGTTTTGACACAGTGATGTGTCAAAATGACACAAATGAGGGCTAGTGTGACTGAGAGCAATAAAGGCATTCAGTAAGTTGTCAGCACAGCTGAAGATTAAAGTTAATACATTTTTTGAGTCTTTAAACCATTTCTATTTGCATTGCTTTTGCAGTTCACACATAAAATAAGTCTCAAATTCAAATCTTGTTGAAGCTTCATGAACATTGCTTCAAGAAAATAAGATGGCGAATGATTAAATGTGTAATTAGAGGTTTCACACTCAATCTTGTCACTGTAGTGATTTATGGTTTATTATTTTGTCTAAGTAATGCATTTCTTTTCTAGTGTTTTTTCTTCCCTTCATTGTTGTTGGTGTCTGTATTATTACAGTAAGGAAATTTGTCACAAGGACAGTACTTTTGTTCTCAGCTGCAAGATACAGAGGAGAGTTAAATCAAAGCACAGAAGATGCAATACACTTCACATTGCAGTTGGTGGGAGAAGTGTGACGTGTTTACATTGTTGGGCCAGCAATGCTTTAGTGGTGAGAACAAAGGGCAGGATGTGGCCTCTGTGCTTCTCTGCTGTCATATTTAGGGCTGAAACAGGTGTCTTCAGTAGCTAGTCCCAGGAAGGCTCAATAAAGTCATGGAGCTGGGACACACAATCTCCCTCTGTAGTGCATGCCAGAATTGGGTGGAAACCTGCAAACACAGCAGAAACAGCCTTGAAATAGCCCTTAGCAAAGGCTGACCAGAGTCCAGTGCCTACAGACTGTGGAGTGAGGGCCCTGCTCCAGAGGTAGGTCCCCATAGCAGGATTTTTTTAAAAGGACTCATCAGGATTTGTGCTCACCACAGCTGCCCAGCAGATATGTGGGACCTTGTTGCATCTGTGAAACTGATGGCTCTTCCTTCCCTTTCCAAGCTGCTCAGCCACTGGACTGTGCTACCCTCTCTCTCCTTTCTTCCAGCTGCATGAAATTTGCAACTTCACTCTGGCCAGGCTGTAGTATGTCTAGTAAAACAGTCCCAGATCCTGTTTTCCAAAACAGCTTGTAGTTCTGCTGGAAAGGCGGTATCCACACTGCCTGAAATGGGAAGAGCCTGGAAGTGGGATTCCTCACACTCAAGTGAGTGTTCCAAGTTATGCTTGTGTAGTACAGGATATTACTTCTTCCAGCTGCACCATAGAAAATAAGTCAGATCTGAGATTTTGGGACTTAGGTGCTGTTTCAGGCTCACAAGGGCCCTTGAACTGGGAACACCTTGTTGCTGAGGTGGAGTTGTTTGTGGGACTTCAAAGATAGAGTGAGAATTGAATTTTTTGGTGGCAGTTTTCATAGGTAGATGTGTGAATTTTTATGTGCTACTAACTTCCTCTTGATCAAGGACCTACTTAAAGAAATAAGATTTATTCTCTTACTGACTTATGGTACTAAGAGTTCTGTCTTACAGTAACTTCACACAAGTGTTGTTTCCTGAGTATTGCGCGATGAAATAGCTTAGATTTTAATTCTGGTTGGGAGTTGAGTTCCCATTCATGTTAACTTCACCTAGTACTTTTAACGTGAGCAGAAAAAAATATGTTGTCATCTTCACTGTTTTAACCTAACTATGACTTATAGATGTTCTTTACAGCAATGTTTAACACAGTTTAATTATGCTCTGTTGAAAGTATTGTATTTTACATTCTCTTCACCATTTTGTACTATTATTGTGTTTCTTCATATTCTTTGTCTCATTGAAAACACTGGGGCCATCTCTTTTAACACTCTGCAATGATTACAGTAGAAACTTCAAGAGATCTTTACAAAATTGTAGCTGAATAAAAAGTATAAAAATATTTTTTCTTAAGAAATGGTCATGTAAAAAAAGGACTTTAGTCTTGTCTTTTGTTTTTAGTATGTCTCTTTGTCTTTTAAGCACATTTTTCATTGCCGTAATATTTTTCAGCTCTTATTGCTTCTTTTTCATTGCTGTTTTTTGTTTGTTTTTGGTTTTTTGGGTTTTTTGGTTTTGGTTTGGTTTGGGGTTTGGGCCTTCTTTGTTTGGTTGGTTCGTTTTGTTTTTAAGGTTGGTAACCAGTGAGAAAATGCTGTTCCAGGAAATTATAAGAAGCCATAACTCCAGTACTACCTTTCCTAATAGTTTTTGAGGCTGATATTGATGTCTTTTGAGCCGATGTGCATTTGTTTTAGGAAAGGAGTTGTTCACATTAAATTTGGGATTTTTCCCTGAGTTATAATAGCTAGTTTAAGATCTGGCAATCCACATGAGAAGTTCTTGTTGCTCTACTCAATCACCAGACCTTTAATTGGCTGTCTGGCATTTTTCCCTGCTATTGCAGTCCCCATTGGAATCAGAGGCCACTCAAAATTTCAGAACAGCTTTCGTCATATCTGACTTAATTAGTGATTGGTTATTATCTCCTCTTCAGAATTATCACTAAATATGTGCAGTAAATCTAGGCCTACAGAAGTACTGTGTTGTACCATCTTATGCTCATGATACAGAACTGGGGGGAGTGGGAGATACACCTGAGGGCTGTGCTGCCATACAGCAGGACCTTCAAAGGCTGGAGAGTTGGGCAGAGACAAACCCAATGAGGTTCAGCAAGGGCCGGTGCAGGGTCCTGCACCTGGGGAGGAAAACCCCAAGTCCCAGCAGAGTCTGGGCTGTGACCCACTGGAGAGCAGCTCTGCAGAGAAGGACCTGGGGGCCTTGCTGGATGGCAAGCTGGCCATGAGCCAGCAGAGCCCTTGTGGCCAGGAGAGCCAGTGGGATCCTGGGGTGCTTTGGGAAGAGTGTGGCCAGCAGGTCAAGGGAGGTGATCCTGTCCCTCTGCTTGGCTCCAGTGAGGCACATCTGGAGAGCTGTGTCCAGTTCTGGGCCCCTCAGCACAAGTCAAGGAGGTAACGGAGAGGGTCCAGCAGAGGCCACAAAGATGATTTGGGGTTTGGAGCATGTCTCTCATGAGGAGAGACTGAGGGAGCTGGGGATGTTAAATTTTGAAAAGAAAGGACTGGGAGAGGATCTCATCAGTGTATATAAGTATCTCAAAAGTGGGTGTCAAGAGGATGATGCCAGCCTCTTTTCAGTGGTTCCCATTGACAGGACGAGGAGCAATGGCCATAAATAAAATCACAAGAAGAGCCACCTCAACATGAGGAG